CGCGCGAACGTCTTCTGATATTAATTGCCTCGTATCAACATTTTGATTACTTACTTTTATTCGCAGACTTCCTCTAGTGTTGACCATGAAAGCAGCACCAGTCATTATATGAATTGAACATATTCTAGCAGCACTTACACTACATGTGTACCGATTTTCCCAACCGAGATTTACGTATCTTCGCGATAACCGCTCAAAACTGTGATACCACTGTCGTTCACAGGAAGTACATGGCTATTCGTTTCCAGGCAAATTAAAGCTGTACAAACGAGTCCACTGAGTTGCATCGCGTTTTCAAGGTAGATCAGTCGTCTTTACACGCCATATCGGAATGGGTATAGGTTAAAATGAAAGATTGTACATGATCAACGACGCCAACAATTGCGAGCAAGAACACTGTACAGAAATCATAGCAGTTGTCACCTGAGCATCGGCAATTCCATGACAGTTATTTTTCGTACCATGAAGCGATGAAACATACTGTTCAGTTTAAATGATCTGCCGTGCATACTTAAACTAGGTTAAGCGACGTACAACAGCGTTGGCTGCCTTACACTGTGTATGTAATGGCAATACAATATGAGGGATAAATTGGCCCTCTTCTGGGTACGGGAATCCTAAGCAAAAGTAGGGTTTATAAAAAGACGCCGACCTTTTTCGATAACCCGCTTTTCAGCTTTCGATATTCTCTTGTGAAAACAGAAAATACAGGAAGCCTGGCGATGAAAAGTTAGAAAGAGAAATGGAGATAGATGTGCGTGATAGAAAGCGATTGTTCCTTCTACGACGATGTAACCACTGTTTCACAGCAACGTGTTGGAAAACAGAGAATATAGTAGACATCATAAGTGGAAAACGGTCTATAACAGTAAATGTCAAACATATATCATCAAACTGATCATTACTGCTATGTCTTAGAACTTAATTGACGATCGCACACACCATTGAACTGCTCAAGATGGTGATCACAAAGGACGACGCTAATAGTATTCGACTGTTTCGCTAAGGATTTGTCTAATGCCTCTCGAACGCGTCTATGGGTTGGGGCGGCTATTAAAAGAGACCTCGAATATGGCACAGCTTGATTGATAAATATTCACTAGTACTGTGATGACAGCCTAGAGGATGTCACAGTGTGACCATCTGCCATGTTGTCTAAGTCAAAACAGAAAATCTGAAACGGTATTGTGACAAAATAAGTGAATGCCGCCTTTAAATAAGTATGCTGCCAAGCCAAAAGAAACTGTATCTGGTCTCAAGCTGGGTCGAAAAGTACAATGATCGTAACGTTAAGTTGTCAGCGCTCCAATGTTGGTCCCAGCGACTTATCAAAAGGCAAATTTTGGATGCCACACTTGGCAGTTCAGCAATCGGTTCGAATTTATGATTCCAGAATACGAAGGCTGTTTTGGCTATTTTACACGCCATGCAACTGACATCTAATATGACAGCTACGGTAATTCTGTTCAATGATTTTGTTAACCGGCTATTTTGCTTACGAAAAACAAAGCAATAAGACACTCCTGGCAAGAACTACAAATGGCGCCCAATTTTGGAAGTAGGAGACCAAAAAAAATGAGCGACTATGAACTTTACTTATCCGTTCATTGACTTATCTATAGTTTTGCCTTTTGCCTCATTTTACAGTGATTTGTTTGTTATGCTATTTGAACAAATGTTATTGAGAAACAGAATGCTGTTAAGGTCTTGAACATCGATCTGGCATCTGTTTAGCGATTCCATTACTGCCCGAAATTCTAACGCGCAAATCCACCTTGTCCTAGCGTAGCGGTGCTATTGCCACCCTGAACTCCAGCGGGTAACATGACCTGACTACGGTGTGACGGCGCCGTACGTCTTTGTCACTCAAGCGGAGCGAAGGTGCGCCATATCTTAAATTATGAGTTCGCCCTCAGTATTCGCCCTCAGTAATTTGTGAGTGCAACCTTTCCAAGCATCATGCATTTTCTATGAAAAATCAATCACGATGAAACTTCCAACATCTTAAAGCCGATTGGCAAACTGATACGCTCCACCAGGAAGAAGCTATATGAACCTGGAGGTGGACTTACCACTGGCCGACTTTTGAAGGATAACATGCGTCGTCCATGCGCTTTCTGGTAATGCTGAAAAAAGCTTAGAACGCGGTTTATTGATACACCACAAAAAATAATATGGTTAATCAGATGATTGACTACTATTAGCGTTTCAGCTCGTGTTTCGCGAGCATTTTTCAAACAGTGGTAGTAAGAAGTTAACAGAGTCTTAGAAACTTTCATTGATGTCAGCAGCGGTTGGTGGGTTTGGAAGTAAAAGGCCTTCTAACAAACAATCTCCTTACCTTAAAGGAAGGCCCTTGAAGAAGGCACGGACCGACACGCCTATACTGGTTAATCATTCGATTTACGATATTTTTTGTGTTGTTTAGCTATAAAACGCATTTAATGCTGTTCTCCACTCTCAGAGGATATATACTTAGGCCTGAATGTACATAGAGATAGTGTGTTCATGAATCGTGTATAAACCTCTATTGAAATGAACTAAGGTCGTGAAATGGAAAATAGAGTCAAAAAAATGGCACAATGCTGTAGTGATCTTGCGTC